ATATTCTAAAAAGAGGTTTCCCAGGTAACTTGTTTACTTAAATCCTCGTGATTCAGATTCATGACAAAATTTAAAATAATTTATCCTACAGAATTTAATGTAGAGGTCAAATTTAAACTATTGCTTTCATATGAACTAAAGCTATGGACATTGCTTTAAATCTTCACAAAATTCAAGATGAAGCCAGCTGAATTTCAAAGGTAATTGGCTGTCAATACTATCAGTCTCACGGGAGAAAGTTCTAAGCAACTGCTGTTTCTAGAGTAATTTGTTTAGAAAACTTGTATAAAAACCTTTCATAAAAGACAAGCTGGATTTGATTCAAAGTAGAGAAAAAGGCTTGGTTTTGTTCTTGGAGAGTAGCCTTTATATGTTCACATTTGTGGAACATGTCTCCCCTGGTATCAGGCTGTGGAATTGCCTTCATAATTCAAGTCTGTGGAAAGATATAAAAGATGCCACACCAAAATGATATCCCTTTATCAATAGAACACTACTGATTAAGGAATACAGCCCTTAGTCCCTCAGTCACTACCTACCTCAGTTCCTTGACTGTCGTTCCTGAGAACAAACAAAAGAGTTTATTTTATTGTTATCACTTTGCAGAGTGTAGTATTAAATAATTTAATGAATACAGTAGGTGTTTCTGGGTCATCACCAGGATCATTTCACAATGCAACTCTTTTCAGAGCTCGGTGAAAAGTACTTCTGGGACAATATCAGCCTTTCATATTCATCTCCCACCAGTTTGCCAAACTATGGAGGAATTTATTTTGAGGCTCTAAGACTAGTATTGTACAACTTTTTTGATGGAGCTGATGGCTTGATTGATTTCAGCCTTCAGGAAAAGACTGAATGCCTTTTTTCTCTCCCATCAAGTGCCTGATTCTACATGCTGTCATGTGCAGGGCCAGTGTTGCCAGAGATACCAGGCTTCTTGTGCGAGGACAGCCAGAAATACTGCAAGCATGCATTCGATGAGCCAACAGGTGCTTCAGGAACCTCCAGATGTTGAGCAAAGACAAACACAAAGTCCTGCATCTGGGAGGGAACACAGTGTGCATCAGTGCAGGTCAGGGACCGACTGGTTTGGCAGCAGCTCTGCAAAAGGGATCTGAGCTCCTGGTGGACCAGTGAACCTCGGCACCAGTGTGCCCATGCAGTGATAAAGGCTAACCACATACTGGGCTACACTGAGGACAAGTGTTCATTCCTCTCTGCCCAGGACTTCCGGGTCTGCATCTGGAGCAGGGTGTCCAGTTTTAAGCCTGCAGTATGGGAGATATAAACCAGAGAGAAACCAGCAAAGGGTCACTAAGATAGTTAAGAGGCTGAAGCACCTGCCCAGGGACCTTGGACAGTAATACCCAGACCGGTACCTGTGAGCAGTTGCGCAGCACAAACGGACAGGACTTTATGCCTGACCCTGGACCAGCTGTTACCTCCCTGCTGGGAAGGGTAGACATAGCAAACATAATGCTGGAGGGGGAGCAAGCTAGCGAGGGAGATAATCTAATCTCACTGGTTCTTAAATATACCCCTCTATCCAGATCCACTGTGTTTTGTTGTTTACTCTGTCTCACCCGTTGAACATCTCTGCTATATGCCTACCTACGGTCTTGATTTGTAGTTTCATCCTCCCGAGAGAACTGAGAGCAGCCTGTGTGCAAACATCCTCTGGCTTGAGATTTAAGCACAAGCTCTAGCTATATCACCTTCTTTAACTGGCCAAAGAATATTATTTCTTTATCCTTGTACATAAGGAAAATAATTTATCCAGAACCACTAGTGCTAAAATGGCACAAAAGACAAACTAAATCACCAACTAAAGCATCAATCACCTTGCAATGATACCAGCAATTATTTCCATACAGCCTCCTGACAGCGACTCCAGCTATTCTCTTTAGCTGCAATACTCACCCTACCATACAAATTGATATTGATACCCATCAGATTAAAAGAAGAGGCAGCATATCCCCTGTCTATAAGCCTTTGAAAAACATGTTGATTTTCTCATAGGGTTTTCTATAACTGCATCTGCTTGCTGCCATATCTGAGAAGGGAGTAAAACTGATTACTTGAAGCAATTTTGGCAACAGGTGTAGGGATGCTGCCTGGACGGCGTCAGTGGCTGATGTGGATCAGCAGTGCCATCCAGTGGGACACACAGTGAGCCACCGCTCCCCTCTGAAGCCGCAGGGAAGCGAAGGGTCCCCACTGCCGCTCCCGCGTGGAGCCTCCGCGACCACCCAGGGCCACTCCATTAGAAGAAACTGCAAGACACCTAGCAAGTTACAGGGACGCTGTCACTGTGCTGCCTCCTTTTGTCCTGCGAGCTTGGCAGGTACCCTCATGTACTGCTTTGGAGCTGGCAGCAGGCAAGTTTCAAAGACTTGAAAATTAGCATCCCCACTGGCACTTTCTTTTTGGGAAAGCTGCTCAGGGGAAGCCTCAGTAATTCAGTTTTCTTATAAATCACATGTACTGTCATTTGAACCTTTTATTTTGTGACCACTGTTTGGATAAACAACCTGCCTCAGTGGACAGGAAAGTGATTTTCTTTCTAGCACTGTTAGAATCCTTCATCCCAAGAACAAGATTGCTGGGATCCAGATCCTGATGGTTTTCTTTCTCACAAACCCATCATGGTTGCATTTACTGTGATAAATACAAAACCAAACAGGTTAAAATATTTTTTTTTTATATTAAAAAGTTTTAAAATACCTTTTAGTGATGTTCTAATATTCCATATCCAACTAATGTTGAATTTGTAACAACTTAAGTCCCAAGCTTAATTGACTTACTACGCTTCTAAACTCGGGAGATTCAGGAATTTAAATAGTAGGAAGTGTTTGAGGTGAAATTTAAAAGGTAGTGCTAAACGAAATCCACAGTGCATCTCTGCAGCTATTTGCCATATGAATTCTCAACAGGCTGGCTGTCTTTTCCATAGCATACCTCCGTGCATCTAAGCTGTTCCTTTGCACAGCATACACACTCATGTTCCTTGCCTGTACTGATCCACCGCAGTACTCAAATCATGCAAGCTACCCCACCACCGGCTCTGCCGTTCCTACGATGCTGGAGCTCTGCGACTGCATGGACTTCTAATTCCCACTGTTTGTTTCCTAGGCTGCATCCTTAAAACTCGTAATTCTTAATTCTTTAAGTTATCCTATCTTTAAGTTAATACAACTGATGTTCTTTAGGTTAAGAAAAATTATATTCCCTACATTATCTTGACCTCTTAAAATGACAGTGAATTAGTATCTGTTAATTAAACAGATAACATACAATAACATTGCTCACTAATGACTAATGACAGTAATTTTTTATCTGTTGTGACAGCATGACTACAGATTTGTGTGTGCGTGCACGCATGTGCACACATGCAGGGGAGCTTAACACACAGAAAGACTGTAAATACCGTTCTTTAAAAAATAATTTATTCCTCATGAAGAAAGAAGAATGGGGATCTTGCATAAAATAACATATTTGTAGTAACTAACATAGCAACAGGTTGCTGCATTCAACTCTTTACAGATAGATCATCACAGAATTATTATGACTAGCAGGGAAGTCACATACACCCAGTCACGAAGCGTGGAGTTTTCCCCCAAATACTCCTAAATCTTTTGTGTCTTCTCTATTCTAAAGGCCAAAGCACACATACCCTATTAAAAAACCATATGTCCTGATTAGAAGACATACAAAAATGTCTAGAAAGCGGAGTTAATTGTGCATAAAGATTTAAAAAAACCCACTTCCTGTGTCTGTCCTAGCTCATTAAAAAATAAAAAACTTCTCAAATGGAGTGTTTCTGACATAGCTGTGTTGAGCATCGCACACATAAACCACATTGAGGGCAGTTACAGCTGAATGTGCACCATGTAGCCATTTATCTAGGTACCAAGAAAAAATTGTGAGACTACTGCATTTCCATGGAGAGAGGAGAAAAACAAAAAAAACCAGAACAAACCCCAAATACATGCATAGGCAAGAAATCCAAGGGAAGTTTCTGAGCATTCATCCAATAATTAGAAAAACATTAAAAAGGTGGAAGACTAGCACTATCCCAAATGACATCAATATGGAAAATGCAATTCCAGCTCTAAAATGTTGTTTCCCTTTTTATAAAAATATTTTCAACTGTGTAGAAAATTTTAAGCCAAGTACACTTCACATCTGCAAATGGCCACAACTAGTTGAGTAACTGATAGGTCCTACATATCCGATAAATGTCCTGAAGTACTAACGATTCTATTTAACATTTATTCATGACATCAGAGTAATGTCCAGTTCAAGCTGATAATTTCCCTGCATCAGAAAGCAGAAGATGCTGAAGTCTTGTGGTTGGTTAATAAATAAGATCACAAACAAGAAACAACCAATTCATACACAGTTATTTGTTTGCTTCTAAAAATTTTGGTCTGGGCCAGCAATTCTTCTGCAGGGGCTATTTCTTGTCTAGGCATTGTTTCTGGAAAAAATACAGGGGAATTTACTCTTTTGAAAGAGATATGTCTTTCTGTCAGCCTACTACTGTACAACGTACAGTATATTTTCTTTGGTTGGGAACCGTCACTGTCAAGATCTCCACTGAATATACTTACTAAATGTGTGATGCGTGCCATAGGGCTCTGCTGATAAACTAACCTAGTGTTAGGTACATTTACAGAAGAGATTAGATTATTAGAAATACTGAGAAAAGATTGCACCCTAAAGGCCCCAGCTTGAAAGAAAGAAAAAATCCAAAACACCCAGATTGCCCCCCCAAATCACTTCTTCATCAGCTGCTGGAATCCAGGCAATCCTACTTGTACTTCCAATTCAGGACTACCGTTGGAAGAATGTTAATTATTAAAGTACATGCAGTGAAATATATGCAAGTTTGCCTTTTAAATCTCCCTTCTGACAGTGCTCTGTCAGGACAAGATTCTCACTTCATCTGAACTGCAAAACAGCAAAGTCTCTATACAGTAAAACAATGCACAGTTCCATTACTGTGCATTTTTACAATTTGCTTCTTCCAGGAGCCACTCAATTCCATTTAGCAATCCAGCTAAAGTTGCAGCTACAGTGTCCTGCACCTGTAAAAATAAAAAAAGCCTAATGTCATAGATAACAGGTAACGGGATCTAACAGCATTTTAGCATCACTCCATGTCTCTCCCTGAAGTCAGAAATATTCATATCAAACCTAAATTTTTATCACTGGTTTAAAGGTGCCTTAGACAAAAAAGGTTTCTTAAGAGTAAGGTACAAAATGAATTGTAAGACCCATTAGGAAAGCCTTGCATTCTGGTATCAAGGTGAATTTTATCTCAATTGTTCCATCAGCTATTCTGGAACATTACAGTTGCTTTACAGATGAGAATCTACTTGAAAATTCTTCTTGTAACTCCTAAAGCAAAACTGCTGCTAGCTTTAGAATTCAATGCATATTATTAATTCTCAGATTTTGTAATGTATTATAAAGTGACTATTATAAATGGTATGTTTTTAAAAAAGCTTGTAAACATTTTCCTTAGGAAAACAAAGGAATTATCTCAAATCAGGATTTTGTTTTTTCTAATTAAGTATTATTCGTCGGCTACACAGTGTCACCAAAAATAAATTATGTGTGGCTGAGCCAAACTGATACATACTGTGCTTGACAAGCATAAAAGAACAGGTTCAGGACCTCACGTGCTAGGTAAAAAACTGATTTGTCAAAAACTCAATACATCACATCAAGCAAGTGGCAATTAACAGTCTCCTGAAAACGGCAGAAGAATCTACCTTGTGTCCAAGGCCTTGGGTCATGACTCAGGAAATTTAGATTTCAATTAACTGAAGCTTCCTTACTCCCTTCAAGACCGGCATTTCGTCCTTCCTTACATTCTGGTTCCATCTGAAGTTTCTTGCATGTTCCTGGGCAAACCACTTAGCTCCCCTATGTTCAGATAGGCTAATGCTTCATCTTAGAGGACCAGAGAAACTAAATTCTTCACTTCAGTGGAGACCTCACATACTAGTGTTGAAAGCTGCACACTTGCTTAGGTAGGTACAGTTCAGGAACTACCATCAGCCTAAATTAAATTTAAGCCACAGAGAAATATAAAATAAAGGTTTAAAAGCAAGTACCATCCAGGGCTGACGTAGCAGATTTAGTTGCAACTGGTGTGCCATGTAAACACACGGAATTCTTTTCACACCAATGTGAGAGATGCAAGACAAAACTAGCAGAGGTCTGTTCGGAGGCCCGAGGGCTGGATCAATCATTGCCAAAATACGAGCCAGTTCCTCTTGACGATCATGCTCTAAGAAACAATTTTTAATATATGAGTATTAAATATATGCAAATCCCAAGGAGAACTTTTTTTTTTTTTTTTACTTTTCAAATATTTAAGATTTCAGAGGTGAGGAAACAGGGGTGGAAGGGATATGGCCAAATTATCTAGTTCATCTTATCACAAGGCTGCATCATCCGCATTCGTGTCACACAGATGTTCATGTCGCACTTAGATGTTATTTAAAGATCTCCATAGATTCTACAGGCAGCCTATTCCAGTCCTTAACATCAGAGCATTTTCCAAGTACCTCACAGAGATCAAAACTGCAACAAGCCATTAAGAAATACTCACACACTGTACAATCAGCAGCCCTTCCCTACTGACTGTACTTTTCTCCTTAGTATATCCCTTCACATTTTTTTACCCTGTTCTTTTATGAGCTAGCCCTTTCCCTCCATTTAAAGTTGATGAATGTAAAGACAATTATCATAATAGGTATTTGGATTATCCTCTTACAGGACTATCCTAGTTTGGACTATTGCATCTTTTACTGCAGTTTTCCTGGTCAAGGTTCTGTTTCCAGGCTATTACACCACCACCGATGCATTTCAGCCGCCTTCTCCTACCCATGCCCAGGGTTTGTTTTGGTTTGTTTTTTTTTTAATCCAGATCATTTCCCACATGTAGCTTAGATAGCAACCATATCAGTATCCACCATAAATGGAAGAAGGGGCCATAACCCCTCAAAGGGAGATGAGGGAGTGTCTGGGTTAGGGGACCTCTTCGACTGGATAAGCCGTGAAGAAATAGCACTAATGAAGCAGATTTTGGAAGAGTCAAAACATGGATTTTGATGTATTGCATATTGTCTGCAATCTTTTATGACATTCCAATCATTCACAAAATATGAATAAATAAAATAAAGAGACACCCCTTACTTTTATGAGCTTCTGCATTAGCAACATAAATGAATCCATCAACTACTTCGCACACCTTTTTCACTTGAGCTATTACACTGTAGTGCACGGCTCGCTGATTCCCTACTATGCTGTTCTCTTGGTAGAACATCTTATTCACAGCAACAGCTTGCTCTGCCCTCGCTCTCCTCCTTTCCACACTGAAAGATATTTCAATATTTCAGTAGTCAGGTTAATTGAGAACGTAAAAACTCAGTTTTGAGAGTCTAGGCAGCACAGGAAAGGGACAGGAAAATGGCCTGAGCCAGGAAAACAGTTTCCTTTCTCCCTGCCCCCTCCTGCCCCCCCCCTCTTTTCTAGTGTACATATACAGACGGTTAGCCATCTGCAAGATGCATATGAAAATACACCCCAGGATGAGTTTTTATAGTGTTTCAAAAGGGAATCAATCAAGGTATCGAGAGGGATAGAAGCACCTGTTATCTATTTGTCATACTCATTTGCCATGGATAAGGTTTGGAAAAGATTTATCACTTCCACGTGAAAATTTAGCGGTTGGAGAAAGAAAGAAAAAATGAAGACATGCATTGAAGCTTCAGTTTATAAGGGATATCCATGCATGTGAATGCACGCATGAAAATCACATGACAAAAACAGGAGCAAAAGTATGAAATAACCGAGAAACTGTACTTTTTTTTTGGTGGAGGACAAAACTTACCTGGTGGTTGAATACAATGTCAGAATATTGAATTTTTGATTGTGATTAAACTGAAAACTGACTCCTGATCCAATTCCTACAGGGAAAAAATGACTGTATGAAATTACAACTATTTGGTTACTGAATATGAAAACATGAGTATATGAGATTACAACTGTTTGGTTACTGAATACAACTAAGCGGAAGGCTGAAAGTTCCAGTGGTGCTATAAAATGGGTATATCCAAGCCTAGGTGTTGCCATTAGGGGTAGCATATTTACTATTTTAAGATGAAATTTTATACATGGTCTCATTGATCAGACTATTAATTTAATTAAAATCAATTCAATAGTATTAAAAGAAAACAAGGAGGCATCTCCATGTTTCTGATACTTAAGACTTGAACCTAGAAACCTAAGTCAGAGAGGAGCTAGACTTGCGTTTATTAGCCGAAACTGGCATAGCAAAGGCTCTAGTCTGTTTACGATAAGCTGCATTGAAAAGGACATGAGAGAGAAAAGAGAACACTAAGAAACCGTATTTTCACACTTTCTATCAATACAATTTAATTATTCCAATTCTGCTGTGCTGAAATAAACATTAGTTAAAAAGTAATAAATTTTTGTCTCTGGTTTGGACTGAAGTGAAATTACAGATGTTCAAAACTATGTTTTTAAACGTTGAAAAAAATCCTTCACCTGCTCCTATAACTCTTCTAAATGAAATTTACACCATTTGGTACCACAAGACTGAATCATATAAAGGATCAGTCTTGACTTCCTATATAAAAACACAAGTGCATTTTTTAGCCGCTTACTGCAAGCAGTATCTAAAGAAAGTTCTGTCTGCATTTATCCATTACAACAGCAGATGTGACATGTAATTTAGGATGAAAATAGAAGTACAAGGAGCAAAATGATCCCTCTGACACTGTGCAAATTTAATCATAAATTCACTACAGCTGTAATTTTATCCCAAATGTTCATTGCATATATCCTTCTGAATAAATACAAAGAGAGAAAATTTCATTTTTTCTTACCACTATGCTACTGAGTTTCAAGGGGAGAAAAAAGCATCCCTTTTCTGCATTTCTCCCCCAGTGTTTTTCGTGTTATATCTGTTTACGAAATAAAAAAGCCAAAAACCAAAACCAGCATTACCATGAATTTGTCTTTGAGGTAGGCCAGCTACTAGCAGAATTTCTGGGCATGTCATCATCTTTTGCACTAAAGAGTCGTCCAGCTCTTCCAAACCCGGCCCAAACATAGCAAAGCGAGGTTCTGCCTGAGTGACCAGTGATTGCAAAAAGGAAGTCACAGCCCCATACCGGGGACGGCTTGATTTCAAACTTCTTCTACTCTGAGGACAGCTTTTTTTATATCTGTGTAAAATAGACGCAACTAGAAATTAAATACAAAATACGAAAGAGGTATTAATCAAACAACATAAATTAATCTAGGTCCCACACTCCTCATGCTTTGTTACCAGTACAACTCAAGCACAGGTAAAAAATGATAAAGTTTCAAACTGATGGTTTCAAGCACCAGTACAAAGCAGGTAAAGGCATCAGTCCTTTCGAAGTCCAAATACGGACTTTTTGGACCTTAGTACACTTCTATCTATGGATTTTTTAGTTTACTTTAACAAATAAAATAAAATTACAAATTCCCCTATCCTCGCTGAACACACAATATTGGTTAAATAACATCAAAGCTGATGAGTTACATACAATATTAAAAAATATGAGACTTTTGATTGCATTTCAAACCTTAATTAGACCACTTTTGTGTTTAGTAACTATGAACCAGGTAACTCCACCTGAAAAGGGTCATTTCCCCTTGTAGGCACAGAGAATGCGTGTTGTGAAAGGAGACAGGTGTTGTCTGCAAGCTGATGTGCTCATTTGATGCAGAAGCTAGAAGGCATGAAAAGACTTTGGTAATCAAGGGAAAGAAGTTACAGTCATAGAAGTGACAGACTTCCTAGAGAAGCAGCTTCAGTCTTCTGTGGTCATGGCAGGCTGCTGCTGGACAAATCACTTCAAGGAAACATGAAATGTGTGCTCCTCTACACCCAAACTCAGTTGCTTCAGCTGAGATCAGCAAAACCACTAAGTGCTCACAGACACAATGGAAATCAGTGACAGGTGGTTTCAAATAGGTGATGCTCTGAAGTATTCAGACCTAAAGAGATTTAAATCCAGTAGATTCAAATAGATATTTGATATCTATTTGTATCAGTATTATTCAGTAGATATTTCGCACTTCAAATTCTGGGTGCGTCTTTCCCATCTGTGAAGTGGGGATGAAGGGCACAGAGATTGCAGAGGTTAGTGCACTTACCATGAAGCAAGAGTTTCATGAAATCACTTTGGAAAATTTAACTGCAAATTAAAAAAAAAAATACTGCAAATTAAGGGACTTGAATGAAGTTTTAAAAAAAACCCCACAGAATAATCTGCTTGTCTTAAGAGTTCTTCTCAGTCATCCAAACACATTATGAGTGTTGCTATGCTTTTCAACTACACTAGCTGAAACCACAGTCTTTGTCTTACAGCCTTTGACCATCAGAGCTGAAGCAATACTACTTGTTATTCAATGCACATTCAAAAAAACCCTTTTTTTTTCCCCCCCTAGGTCTTCCAGGTAAGATGAAAAAAACGAAGATTCATTCCATTTGCTGTAGTTTGAAGGCTTCTTAGTACTTTTATTAAGAAATCATTTGTCATTGTACTGAGAGCAAAGAACACATTTTTATCAAGATCAACAGTACACACAGCTTCTGAGATGACTGTTATTTCTGTGGCATAGTAGACATGCAGCGTACAGAAAGCTTTAGTTTTTTTAGAACGTTAGCTTTGACTTTTTTACAACGTTTTACATTCTTGTGGAATTCCAAACAGAAAGAGCTGACCAAACTGTCAAACAACAGGAAACCGTATTTCCAAAATAAACAATGGATTTGAGATGCATCAAAATTTAAGCAGCGGCTTACAGCACAGCTTTACTGCTGTAAATATGAAACGTGCCTGTGGGCTGAATATTACTGCTGTAGCGAGGCTGTAAGAGAATACAAAGATACTTACACTGCCATGTAATCGTACAGCGCACTATCGCTGACCTCTGAAAAGGCTTTATTAAAAATTTCCACATCTGGGAGTGATTTCCAATCAACGGATGTCCAAAAGGGGAGATCCCTCAGGAGAAAATACCTCCACAACAACGGGTCTTGCACAGCCGCCCTCCAGTAACAACTCGTGCTTCCCAAATGGCACAAATCTTGGGGCGAGAGGAAGGACATGATGTTCAGCTGCACGTCGATCTGAAAACCGTCGAGAGCAGCGGTTGAACGACCCAGGAATCGAGCAGCGAAGATGCAAGAGGCGGGATGCCGAGCTTCCCTCCTCGCCCCCACGTCCCCCCAGCCCCGCCTGGGCATCACTCACCGGCAGAGCCTGCAGGGCGCTCACCTCCTCCGCGTCCTCCGGGAGCGCTGGACGCT